TTGATATTTTTCTGGACGAACCAGACGTATAGGCACAATCTCCTTTGGCTTGGCTTCCTCTCTATCACGCTAGGGACGTTCCACATTTCTTTTGTTGTTCGCAGAGCCTGTTGCAAACGCCTGCGCTGCATTAAAGCCATTGTGGTTCCAGATAATATCCAGAAGGATGTCTTTTAGTTGGCACGCAGGTTCTTTGGATTTACACTCGTAACGGTACGGTAAATCCTTCGATCTTAGTGGGGAACGACGGGGCAAGGAGGCGCGAACAAGAGAAGGACGCAGGAGTTACTGTTCTTTCTAGTCAGCGCTCTCTGTTATGTGACTTTGATCCCGAGTTCTATGCCCGTCCAGTTATGGGACCCCATTTCCTACTTCCGAATGAAATTTGTTATGCAAATTCATCCTCACAATGGACGAAGCAAGGCCTCCTACTCATTTCTCCTGAAAAACAATAGATGGCCGGCTATCGGGCCGATGACTAGCGAAGGTTGACCTTGGGAAGTGAGGCAGGTAACACAGTTATTGTAGACGGGCCTTAGCACCACACGAGACAGAACAGGTAAAATTGGTGTACCTGATCCAACGGTCGTCTGGGTGGCCTCGTCAAGGCCAAGAGAAGGCGTTGGAAGCAGCGGGTGCAGCAGCTGTTTCGTCGACAGAATTGAGCGCAGGCGGAGAATTCCAAACGCCGCTGGCATATTGACTTCTATCGGTCGCGCAACGCGTTGGCTCGGTATTTACATAGACAGGGTACAAATCACTGAATAAAATAATGTGTGGTCATCCTATAGGCAATCTTCATTGGGACCTTATTATGATTATGATAATACCTGATGACATAATGTCACAGGATCGCTTTTTTACTACTTTCAGGAAATATAGCTTATACGGATGCATCGCAGACAGTTTCGTAAAATACTCTCTGCCAAATATTGCAAGAGAGTAGGACTTTAGTGAAATTTTCATTTGTATTCATCATAACAGGCTATTTTTTAAGTTTTCAAATAGGGCCCATTTTCAAGACAAATAACGTGTGTTTTTCGTTTACAAACGAAATTAGCATGATGCATTTTCTCTAGACTAGGTGTCTGCGGACTATGTATGTATACATATAATCGGGCGATGTCATCAAGTTGGGCCCAGCCCAACAGCGGCGCAAACACGAACTAAAAATAATGGGGTGGGATAATAACATACGTTGTTTAATAATCCCCGAAGTAAACCAAATATTTTATACACATATATATATATACATATCGCAGGTTGTTCGAGAATTACCTGAAGTGGAGAAAGATTACGACATGAAGCGGCTATCAAAGCTTGTGTAGCCAACGACGCCGTAATATCGATATCGAGAAAGAGAAGACGAAGTTTATAAGCTGCAGGGTCGTCTTTGCGCGAAACATGCTCGACGTACGGAGTAGATTTCCTTAGGTTCAGCTCATTCGTAACGATAATTAACGGTATTAATTTGGAAAAAGTGCCTTTTATCTTTGTAAATGGCAGGAGGTGGTTCTCTAACCAGTGAGTGCGAAATCGTAGTTCAATAATGTCGTCTCAAATTATATAATCGACGTGATGGGACGATACAGAGTGAATTGCTCATATATTTTAGTCCTATTTTTTTTTCGGCTTCCAACGAATCTTTGCCTATCTGCTGCTTGCAGATAAGGTTTCTCAAGATTAAATTCAATTTTACAATGTACAAGGTTTAAGTCTTTGAAGAAATCATCTACGCTTGATCGAAGTTAAACAATGTGACCTCATACGCTATTCCGTAGAGGCAACGAATACAGTTGGAATATCAGTGTTAATATACGTTGTCCCTTCTGCAGGAGCCAATGACCAAATCTGGGTTTGACCCCGTCTTAGGTCGAATATACAGATTCAGCGAACATCTCAGCTATACAAGTGGATGAAACTGTAACTCTGAACAAACAAGAGGAGTTTCGTGACCATTGCCGGATTTTACTTATGATGAATTGGAATCTAGTGAGCGCTGGTTCTTTATTCTCACCGAGATGTCAGACAATCGTAATAGGCAGAGCAGCTTATTTAACAAAGTACCCTTCTAGAATCAAAGGCCCATTAAACCTGACCGATACGAGCGATCATTCATTATATATCACACCGATAAATTATACCATATTAATATCATGTCGTATAATTAAGTAGTTCCAATGTGTTTAAGCATTTTCTATTAACTAGATTGTTTTTCTTTAGCACCAAACAAGCTTTCACTAGAAATGGTTTAAACATACCGTCTACGTGAGTTGCGCCACTGGTTAATGCATTTTCAGCTGACATTTTAGCACCTCTTGCCGAAAAGCCATTGAACTGTGTTCGCAAACGGCTTACCTTCGTTTGGGGGGGGGGGGGGGATTTCTGTATCAACCTACTGCGACGAATACCTGTTCAGCTACCTCGAATGTCTGCCCCCTTTTGTGACGGAGTATGCTTCATTATGATGTTGAATAGGTCAGCTTACTACGTATTTGACAAGACAAGACCTGACCGGACCGTATGCTCGATACATAACAATGTGTGTGTAAATGTAGTTTCCCTGCAGGAACGGATACAATAGAGTGCAGCAGGAAGTAACAAACCAAGTTTTTCCATTTTCAAATCTTTTTGTACCGTTCTGGAACATTTTGCACTAGGTATTCTGCTAGCAAGACAACCCTCAGCATTTCTGTCCCACGTCAGCCAGAGCGACGCAGGTACACACCGGTAAATAATGGCCTTTGCGCCAAGTTAAGGCCATATTTATGAAGTTAGAAAAAACCTTGATTATACTAGTTACATCTGCAAGAACGATTCTGACTAGCAAAACCACTATAATTAGTAATAATCTAGCCGTCTTTCGGCTCTGTCCAGAAGCTCGGTCGAATAGAGGCCGCTCCTTATTTACATTCAGACATAAGTAATACTTATAAGTGTAAATAAGGTTAAGTGTGGTCCTTAATTGCGTACGCTGTTCCGAGCTTGTGCGAAAAAAGGTCAACCAATAATCTCTTCGCTAATATTGGGAACATATGTATACTATTACTACAGACTAGTTTATACTATCAGAAGCGTGGCGGTGTACTTTCTTTTGGCCTTCTACCCTAGACATAGTCCGCCTGCGCGCATAACTCCTGCGACAGATTACTTGCCGTAACTACGACGGCTCACTCGGCAATCATAATTAAACACAAGGTCGCCGTTACCAAACATTACTTTCGGGTTACGTGAGCATCCACGACCCAAATTACTTTTCGATACGTATGTTTCTGACTCATATACGAGCTAGAAGCTTCCTCGCAGTTAAATGTACGACCTTGCCTGTCGTGAGAATGACAGCAAATCAAACGGAAATTGCGTTCAGCCGCGAAGAGAACAATGAATGACGTTGGATAGTATATTTCTACCGATAAGGCCATAGTTGCTATTGTTATTATGGCTGCTGTGGCTGTTGTTCCAAAAGGCTGCGCTTACCGCCGAACAGTTAGCGCGGAAAACAGCATTTCCAATGAGAAAGTACTCGGTCTTTTTTATAACAACAGTGTCCAAAAAAATTGTAATCTTCTACTCACTCATCTAGTTCGGTAATAGTTTGCAGTACTCTTCGATGAGACTCGACAGAAACATAATGTGTCTTCATCAAAATACACTAGTACAATTCATACAAAGACTGAATTGATACCACCGCAAGGTGCTAACTTGCCATCGTTTGAACTTCCGCACACGGCAATGCTCTATAATGCAATTCCCTAAAAACACCGTTTATCATAATTGTGATTTTTATACTTATCTCTAACGGGTTGAAGTGAAACAAATATTGCGTTAAAAGGTTACCCGAATTCGATAACCAGATATTCAACTAAAACACATAGCCCATAAGGACGTAAATTGTTTTTTAATTGGATGGTCTGTCGACGTACATTTATTTAATATTGTGGTAAAACATTTGCTAATAATATAAAAGCACTACAAGAAGTTCGTCACAACCAGTCTGCGCTAAGAGCTGAAGTTGAAGATAAAAAAAATTAAACAAAAAACAAGAAAACGACGTATACAGAAGCGCAAGGCCTTTACCGCGTCCACACCGCGAAAATTCAAAATAGTGAGTAGAGCCTTGTTAACATTTTGTAGCGTTACAATATACTACATGTTTTTCTCAATTACTCTGCCAGTAAAAAAAAAAAAGCTATAAACTATTATAGCTTTAAAGATGTGACACATATCGCCGAGATCTGATTATGTGTTTTCGTCTGCTAGTCAAAAAAAAACCGTAATCTAAATAAGGAAGACTGTTATACAATTTCAAGGGCATAAGAAATTCCTCTGTCAATCCGATTTGCAATCGCATAGTAGTTCTATTGGTTTTCCATGCCCGGATTTAGCAGTATTTTAATGTCTAATTAACCTGGTGGTTACGTAACAACAGGGTGCGTGTTATACATTCAAAACGATCCACATGACAGTATAGCTAATAAGCACCTGATGGAAGTATTATTATCAGACCCTTTGAAGCCTATGGAAAAATAAAGGTGTCTTGAAAAGCCTAGACTCTGATCTCTTTATATTACGGAAAGGATCCATTGAGTCCTTAGCTAAATTGTCGTTAATGAACATTTTTCCTCAGTGACCTTCACAAAAACACAGCGACTTGAGGCAGGCCTCCGATTAGAAAGGTAGGTAAACTATCTAGAACGTATATTACATGTGTGCAATTCCTTATATAATTATAGCAGTCCTTCGTTGGGTGATATTTCCACCTATCGAAGCCTTTCTCTGATCAACACAGCCGTCAGAACTGTTTGTTTGTGTGATATGGTTGATGTAATGCAACGTTGATACGAATCTGAATAATCGAATTAGAAGAGAGTCCACAATATTATCACACACACATTTTTTTTTCTTTGTTAAGATACCTCAGTTGCGGATAAAAAGATAACTTATTGTCACCTACATTCCTGGAACGGGACCAGAAAACTAAGCCGACGGAAAATTAACGCAGGAATAATGCGTCGAAGTTTCTGCCCCCTCCAGTCTTGGTTATCCCAGACGTAATTGGATCTTTCATGTATTGTCTCAGCGAGTAAATGAAAGTAATATTCATGAGGGAAAAACGAAGCGATAGGATCGGATCGGATCGGAGGGCAGTTACTATAATGAATCGAGTTATGAGGATACGTAGTGGCTCATAGAGCGAATGCCTACTTGAAGCGGTACAATTTCTATTTTGTTGCCATAGGTCCATGATAACGAGTTAATGTGTGAGATCATCCCACTGGTGAATTTCTACGCGAATGCCGTTTTGACACGGCATTGGCGTGACTTGGCATGACTTAGGGGAGAGGCTTCACGAATAATATTTTGAAGATGTCTGTGATTGAACGGCATCTGTGCTACTGTTTACGAAGCACAAATAAACTTGGCAAAAGACTCTAAGGCGAATGATCAGTATATGAGATTTATGTCAAAAACGATCCGCGCTATATTTCGATATCATAGTTGAAATATGCGGTTTATATGACTTTCCCATACTCAGCTTTCGAACGTTTCAAAATCCTATTGGACGTCTTAAACATGACGTTGAAGAATAGGCATAAGTCAGTTAGAACTAGACAGCTATATAGCTTATTTTTTGAGGTGTAATTGACGGTATTTAATTTTAATGCCAATTTGCGAGAGCGCTAACAAAAGCAACAAATAATTATCTATCCATCACCGTATACAATACAACATAATGCTTGTGCTGTAGAACGCTGATGGGCTAATATATATATATATATATATATATATATATATATATATATATATATATATATATAGGGTGCATTTGTGCCGAAGTAGCCGTCACTCAGACCGTCACAGTTAGATTTTTAGGTACCTAGAGTCGTTTTTACTCCTACTGACGTTTAGCGGCGATAATACCGGTATCGTACGTCGGTCGATAAACTGTGCAGATTGAACAGTGTGCGAGGCTACGGGGAGCTGATCCTGCTCTTGCTGATTACGTCACCGTTATTAATGGTAGCTGTTAGAGTTATGTACCTATTTCATATTCAATGGTGAGACAGAGCGATGGACGTTCTTGATTTTGACAAATCTTAACCCAGAACTTAACTCGCAGTAGCAGATCTATCATCGGCCACGTTTCCTCTATAGGTTGAGATTTTTGTTATTAAGTGATAACCGTATAACTGTAATGGAGTACAAAAAAACAACGCATGAATCAAATTACTGTTAAAGAAAGGAAGCTAATGGCATATAGAGCAAGTGCACGCAGATGCCAACTAGTGCCAATCGAGAGCCTTCCTAGCAATTAGTCCAGGCCAGAGCCAAGTGAAAGGACTTATCGAAGGTACAGACGCCAAAAAATACCAATACAATTCTGTTAAGTACAGCATATGTCACAGTTGGAATTAGATTTATTTAAGAGGTGTATTCGTGGCCCATGCAAATGAAAAATCAAGCCTTCTAAATAGACAAGATGCCTTGACAAATTCAGGGATGTATTTTCACTTATATGCAACACCTGATACACTGTATCTAGCCAAACGGCACGTTTTATAGACATATAATTATAGACTAGATACGCTTAGTCCTAATCCGTGTAGCACTAGCCGTGAAAAGCCTGATTTTTCGCCCATTTCGGATAGCATTAGAATTGAGAACTCGAACGTTAGGAACGGATGGGACTACATTGTACATATTATTTAGTCGTTTCGCTTATAGACGCTGCAAGTAAACTGAGCTAATTCAGCCTTTTTTCCCTTTGAGCATTGCGCTTTCTGTGCTTAACCCTGTATGGTGTATTACGTCTGAAGATTCTATTATTTCGTCTGCCTAACTAAAAAGACAAAATGATACCGTAATTTTGTTATCGATATGCGATGCATGAACGCCTGCTCGATTCTGCTTTTAAAAACATTTTTACATCTGAGCCAATTGGTTGTATAGCTCCTCTGGGACTGAACAAAGCGTTTACAAAATCTAGGGTATAGTCATATTGTTGATAGGTTTCCATATTTATCCTTGTATAGCGCAGTGCAAACAATCATTATATTTGCTTCGCTTCTTTCCTATGCTTATCTTTCTAGTCTTTGTTGTATGTTAATAGCCATCTTGTTGGCCTACGGAACCATCGTTTCGATAGTGAAGACACCCACAAAGCCTACGAGGCAAAATTTGTAAATGGATTTAAGAAGCCTTAAGCGTTACGCAAGCTGCGACATAGCATCTATACATGATAATTGCATATCGTTTTTAATAACAAAACTGAATTTAACTCAATTTCACGAAGAAGAGGGCAGATCACGCCGTCATTTGAAAAACGGATAATATCCCATTAACATTAATTCCATGTTAAGAGATCCACTTAAGCCCAGATTTTAGCTCAGACATGAATATTCAAGATAAACAATCAAATGGGTGTAATAAGTGAACGAGTAGATAGTTGGCAAAATTTACTAGGGTACTTTTAGTGGACAGAGATAGATGTCTGCGCGGGCCACCGGTTCTTTTTTCTTGGCGCTGTCGATGTGTGCATTTTATACGCTCATGACATACTCTCGCCAGGTTTGACTAATGCAAATAATTTCTTCAAAAAACGGAATCCTCCAGCAAGTCCTGCGTTTCGTAACTGTGTATTGCGTGACAGATGATCCTTATTCGATCATTTAGTACAATTGTTGTTTCGGTATAATCGCTTGAAAAATGAAATCATGTGTCCTCATAGAGAGGTTAATGAAGAACTCGGAATCTCGTCTTGAGAAATGACGTCACCCATTACTATATCTCTGTGAAAAGAAGCTTTAATGCCAAGTATTACGTGGCCCTAAAATATAACTTCTGCTTGCATAAGCATATATTTCGGCATTTTCAATATTTAGGTAAAAGAAACTATTGATATAAGAACCTTCGGCTTTTGCTCTTTAAAGGCCCGCCTGTTGCCAAGCTTACGGCCGCATTCTCCTCTTTCTATCTCCTATTGGCTCACCAAATGTGGCATTTAAATGTGTACTTGTATTTTGCAAGAGCTCTGAAGCGAATGGTTTGATCTAAACATTGGTAATGGAGTATCGAAGATCTTGTATGTGCCAACGATGCAAAAAGCGTTTAGGGGTCAGACTATGAATTAATGCCGGGCGCACGAATCGTATCTGTGGTCCCGCTACGGACGAGAAAACCCTGAAGACGAATCTCATACTGGGCAGCCTCTTACAGTAGGTACGAAAGAAAGCGTAGAGAATACAAAACAGTTTGTGCCTTGTGCCCAAGAATCACCCTTAAAAGGTCTGCGGAAAAAGCGAGGAAATTTTCATCGGGAATTGTGCCGAAAGACCTGAGTTTCGAGCAAATGCTCGAGTCTCAGAAGAACTTCAACGCATTTAGAGACGAGCTTCAACCCTCTGTGACTTGTCCTGTTTCGTAAGAATTGAAGAAAAAAAGCCGGCAGCGCCAAAGCCTACTTCTACGGCAGAGCTTGAGAAACTGTTTTGAAGACAGGAAAAGGTGATGATGCCTGCGTAACGTATGCAAGAAGTGCAGACACCTTCGAATCTAGCGACCGGATTGGGGTAATTGAGGCATGTGTAGCTAGTACAGAATCAAATGATACACACAATAGTGCACATCATAGACATGTTTTAAGATATGCAATGTTTCCAAGGCGTACCTGGTACAAGCTGGAACCCAGCATCGGTCAAATCTGTTGACACATGTGGTATTGCAGTCGCCGACAATCAGAGCTACCTACTTAGAAATCGGCGCTCGTAAGTGTGATGGCCTGATTAAAAGTTCTTCGTTTTCAAGAAATTTTATAATTAATAACGGCCACGATAACATGAGACCAAATATTTTTGAGTTTGCCTATTTATTTCTTTTCTCGAAGTCATTTTTAACTACCCACATGCCAAATTGTACTGATCATGTTAGGCTCTTACAGAAGCGAGTATATTTTCATTGGACTTCAAAAAGTGAAATTATCTAACCCGTCCGCCATACGCAGACCAATTTAGGCTATATAACTTCGGCTCTAATAACTGACTACTCGCTTTTCCCATATGCGTAATTGCATGCACAATGGACTCCCTCCCACACCTGTTTTTCCCATTGTAGGTGCCATGTTCAGCTGTAACTATGTACAATTGGGTAGGCCACATGCTGCTGTGCATGGTGAAGGCCTACTGGAGCCTTCGATGCCGTGCATGTCGGCCGCAACACTGGCTGTCGCCTCCCTCAGTATGGAAGCAATCCTAAATTGTTGGGATGTTGACGACATTTTCATAATTCATGAGCTGAGTTTTATATCGTCTACTCCCCCATTTTTTCGTAAAATAACTGTCATAAATTGGCTAGATGACTGGTACCTTCTTGTCAGCCTCCTTCTAGCGCATGGACAGTTAGAAGACGATATGTATGTTGTTGATGTTCTGACAATGCAGAGGCTATTGATGTTAGTGTGGGGAATATGTTCGCATGTAATTTGGTTTACTATCGCAATAGCTCGACTATTACGAACGTCATCTTGCCTGTAGTGTACACGCCCACGATAGTTCATAGATACTGGGGGCTTCGATTAGGTCAAAGCTTTATCAAGAGACCTTACGGCGAAATTTAATTCCAAGCGCTTATAGAATTAGAACACTCAGATATTGCGTATAATCTGTTCCACAATCGGATAAACGCTGGGAAAAAACACGGGGGAAGTTGAATGGCTTAGACGTTGTGTTCGCTTCCGTGAGAGAAAAACTAGATAGACGTTTTGCTTAATATAAGATTTAGATTGTGAGCTATATAAGATATCGGCTTTACGATATTGCATAAATCTCACCCGGTTCTTAGGTCTTATTTAGTTTGAGTAACTCTGTGGTATAGAAGTAATTCATTTAAGTATCTAAATGATTAATTTATTTAAGTATCTAATGATGGCTGATTAATTAAAGCACACAAAAAAGGCACTGAGATCTTAAATTGAATTTGATTCGCTGTACTCATCAAACGAATGAAACTCGGTATCGGATTAGGATAATCCAGACAGTAGTTTCAAACAAATTGAATCTCTATAAATACTTCCGCGCTGTTATCGATTGGTCCTATCGAAGTTCATTACATCAGTATCGAGACTGTACATTTCACCTCTAAGGCACAACGGGTTCTGCAGTTTACTGATATACTTAATCGGTTAAGTAAGTTTCATAGACCGCCAACCGCGCAATCAAAGTGTTACTATTTCTAAACTGAGACTACCTTCACACTATATAGTGCTGTGTCTAGCTCAACATCGGCCATAGTTGTCTTAGTGGATAGCTGCACGGCTTATCATGTATAGAAGTTTTTTTTAAAGATGTAGAAATGTCCCCCCCCCCCCCCGCAGAGCACTTAATAACTTGCAGATAACGACAAGCGTTGCACTGTGACGCTGATCTAATATAATAACATTGTTTAAGATACCAAATTAATTACTACAGATACAGATTTCAGCTCGGCGTCATTTGCTTGATAGCTTTCAGAAATCGATTTCATTTGATAACGATTATATTCATAACGCTCATTCCTAGAGTAGAGCTCAGAGCATGTCTAGCACATACCAAGTATAGGTCAAGCTCGAAAAGCCGATTCTTATCATAGAGCTATGAAATCAGGCTTCCGAAGGCACCATATTTTGTTAGACGTTTGTCTGTTTTCTTTTTGCATATCCTTGTATTTTGATTTTTGCTCTATATATATATATATATATCCATTATTGCAACATCCTTGGTAAATCATTTTCTCCAAACCTTGCTTTGCAGTCCAGTCGTTACCATTTCTCCTTTAAAAACCTCAACCGTTTTCTCTTTCTCAACAATTAAACCATCATCACCGATCACCCTGATGCTTTACGTCTACGGCCGCACCCAGTCACTTACCGCAGCTTTGCTCAAGCCACTTAAGTCGTGTCGCCAGTCCTCTATCGTAATGTAGGTCGAACAACGGAAAATCTTCCTCCTAAACAATAGTTGGAGCTATACGCGGCAACCGTAAGTAGTAGTTAGACAGCGCGGAAAGACAGGCGGGCGGGGGGGCGTACGGACGGCAAAAGCAAATTTTCGTTCTGAGAAAAAAACAAAAAACACGGTGTTCTTGAACGTGTCATTCGAGCGCGTAGTTAGTTGACAGCTGTCCCTCGGGCTGTTACTTGGATTGCTGCCTTATGCGTGTCAGTCAGCTATTGCTTATGGCCCCCGTGATAAGCGTTCTGTTTCGACATGTGTCAGTCTCATTATCATAGTATATGCCACATTGACTCGGTTGGAACGGGTGTCGGTCCGTTCGTCCGTAGCGCACCAGCCGTTGCTGCATCTCGGCACGCTATTTGCGCGGAGAACGAAGGCCGAAGTGGAAACAAGCAGAGTTCCCTTTCGAGAATTATCTGCCGAACGGGCATACAGCGCACGAAACAAACACATTTTGCGTTTCCGCTTTGCCGCTATTCTTTATTTTCCACTTTCCTTTCAATGAACCTGCAACATTTCCTGCTTTAAACAAGCCAACAGTTGGCATCCCGGCTGAACGTAGTTTACGTCACCGTGAAGAGGCATTGTTTCTGTGTTCATCAGTTTTTTGCAGTTTCGTCCTATTACTACCACGACTACTTCTGGTATACGGAAGTATTTCGTGATATATTCGTTCACGCACCTGAGCGTACGTTATTCATTATTAATTTTGTTGCGCGACGCTTTATAGAGACGCCCGCGGCCAGTTAGGGAAAACTGTCTCCCGACCAGGCACCGTCAGGGCACACACCATACCCAGGTCACCTAGACGAGGTCTTTTGTTCCCTCTACTAAAAAAGGACCACGTATGGTTACGGCTGATCTATAGTGCCACTTCGGTATTTGTTTTAGAGAACACTAGATATAAAGAGGCATTTATACCTATTTGCATAGACCACTGTTTCAACGGTCTTATCTATTTGTAACTACTGAAAAAGTAGCTGAAGCTAGCACTAGGTGCCTGTAGCATTTTATGTGCTACAGGCACCTAGTGCTATTTACATCAGTCATGTACTTCATAACGCTGTCCACCTAGTATTTGTGTAATACAGATTATGTGCGTTGCATCCGATACGATAAATAACTTACAGCTATGTCTAGTAGAGTACGAATAGTGCTTAACTATAGGGCTAGAGGCAAGCATTAAATTAGGATGTAGCAGATGCTCATTTGATGGCAAAACCACTCTAATACATAAGAAAAAAAAAAAACAGTCTACCTCTAGTTTTGTGCCCTGTCGCTTTTTGTTATGTGGATATATTTATTTGTTTCAGCTTATACATGGTATGTTTAATTTTAAAGATTTACATAAGAACGCGTGCATTTACGAATTATACAAAAAAGCATGTCGTAGATCATGTCTGTGTTTGATTATCCGTGACTGGTACCAGTGTACATGAAATCGGCAATATGCTCTTTATCATTAGTGTCATTTTCTAGCTTGTTTTATTTCATGTTGTTGTATATGAAATACAGCATGGGAAACGTTATCCGTTATCGTCAAATTGAGTAGACATTTGCACTCGGTCAGACTTGTTCAGTTTAGCATAGCAGAGTAGAACATCTACTTTGGTTTTGAATTCACAGCCCTGGTCGACCTGACAATATCAGTTTAGCTTAACTCAAATAAAGGTCCTTTCGCCAACGCAGGACAATGGCAACAACCGCACGGCCAACGGCAGGCGAGACAAAGCGAGATTAGCTATAAGCGAATAAGTCTGAGTAGCCGCCCTGCCTTTTACTCAGGCTTCTGTTAAGAGGTATCCGATATTTTTGTCGCGAAAACAAAAAACATGTTGTTCTTGTCTCTATTTTTTCCTTTTTTTAGCTTATCTAGTAGTAACGTGTAGAGCAGACAGTGGAAAATTTTAGCCGAGAGCTCTTGAGTATATGGTTATCCCGAGCGAATTCATTGAAATACTCAAACAGAAGATAGCTACTCTCTAAAACTAAATTTTACAAATGCTCCATTTTTACTTATAATAGTTCTAGGAACTAACAAACGTAATTGTTGAACGGTCTCATCTAGCTGACCACGACATCGACTCCAACATATTCTCGGACCTGCAGTGGGAAATTACATGGGAAAGAAGCAAAGCCACTAGCGAACGTTTGAAAAAGGCGATATTGAGATTGTACGAAGAAGGAATTCCGCGTAAAACGTAGGGGAAATAGTCATTGAATATTTAAAGGCAGCAAAATCGTTGATGAAATGGGGAAGACAATTCCGTGCAAGATGAAAAGTTTCGTAGAAACTCTAAGGTAACCGGTCCAAGGTCTCATTCAGTTCGATGTAGCATGCATGCTGTGCAGTGTGCATTAGAATGAGAGACCAAAGTAACATTTTCGATGAATGTCGAGAGTCGCAATGAGCGGCTAGACTCAGCGACACTACAATAAACCTCTGAAGCTTCTAACAATACCCATTTGGCCCTGAGACTTACTTTGTGATTCCCGGTCGTTTTCTTTCATTTTATACATTAAGAACTCTCTATTATTTATGCATTAGAAAGAGGTAAACTTCACGAAGGTTAGCAGCGAAAGAAAGCATTAACGACACTGATATCTTATGATTTGAAGTCACTTTTTGTTAATGTTGCGATTTTTATCTAACTACTGATAAAAGAATTCAAATGAAGATCATTAGCCTTTAAAGGATCAGCTGGCCTTTGACAGCTGTCTCTTCGCTAAAACAAAGTTAATATATCATCTGTTCTTGACTGACGACTTATCGACGCATTTGTGTCTTATGTGCAGTCCTGCCATTACGAGATCGTCATAGATCACACACACATGACGAAGGCCATACATGTTTTGGTTAGGTAGTAAATAATAGGAAGATGACAAATCTAGTCGTCGAACCGCTGCATAAATGGAACGTGATCTGCTTGGTTCATTAATATTATGTGCATTTGGCATTGAAGAGTCTTGAACCAACAAAAGAGCTATAGACGAGTATTATTGCTACGAAACGTAACGCGGCTGATATAAATTAGGAGCGTAAGCCCCGACAAAAAAAACATATGATTTTTTTCTTTAAAAAGCTCTGTTCTATAGCATACTGCTGTGTCGTTTATGTCTTAAGTTATCCCTTGTTTCTTTTGATCATAGGTTAACTTTGATTCAACATTTACATACAATGAACGCCGTACGAATAACTCAAACAAAGATTTCAACTTACTTCCGATACCGAGAGAGTTCCATTATCTTGTTTCGTCTCAAAACCTGCAAGAACAAACTGTCTCCTAAAGTAATATTCACCGCTCCTTGACTAAAGCATTTACTTTTTATATGCAAGTTCAATGCGAGAGCGTCTTACAACCCTTTCTAACAATTCTTTGCGTTTCCAAAGCTCTCAAGTCAGAGCTTTTTTATATGCAAGTCCTTCCGCCGGTAAGCTCCATTACTGTAGTAAAATGTCGTCGTTGTTTATATTTGAAATGAAGAACAAAGGGTCAAATAATCGTATTATGTTCGATCGTGCCCTCAGTCTCAATGACATGAATATTCCTTTCATGTTATTTATACTAGCTTAGACAATAACGGGCCGAAAAAATCTCTGAGAACTTTAAAACTCAATTCGATAATGTAAAAAAAAAAAAGAAGTATAAACGCAAACATCTCGAGGGATCAAAGAAAACTTCTCCAAGTGGCTTTAGAAGATCTTCACGACACAATTGGCGTGCGATTTGAGTGCACGAGGGAAAGGCTTGATGCTAAAATACAGAAAGGCGGTTCTCTCTTTCTGGTATAATTTTGAAGATCTAAGAAATCTAAAGATTAGTTGGGCCTTTCCAGTACTAATACCAATGCGCATGCTCTGTAGAACAGAGTTAGATTTTGCTTCATTCATGTACCATTGGCATTGGCGAATTTTAATAAGACAATAAAGAGGGTACTCTGGTTTGTTGCATGTACTCAAACAACAAAAATTAGTAAGCACAAACTGCTATCGTCGAACAAGTCGACTTTCTGTGGGTTACAAAAGACCTGTGGATGTTTTAAGCCTAGCGGAAATTGTTTTATATAGAGATGATCTTCGTAGGTTACCGCTTGCCATCTGACCAGAATCTTTTGAATACAGCACGCAGCCTTTGGAAGGTAAACAAATCTTGTTCAACTGATTTTTGAAGCAGTCTCGATAAGTGGTCTTCGTAAGAAATAGATTAGAGTGAACACATACTATAAACAATTGTCCTTTAGCTATTAAACACCACTTTCTAAGTTGGATCTATCTTCAACCGAGTCGACTTAGTCAGTCGACAGGTTTACATGTGTAGAACCTTGAACGAGATTGAAGAAATATGGCTTTCAATTAAAATAATTGTTAGACTGACCTACTTAGCTACAAGTGAGTCTTTTTGACTAAGGTACCATAACGGTTCCTTTTTGTAATGTCCCTAAAGTTAATCATTGTGTAATCGCCAAAAAGTTCGACCCTGTCAAAAAAATGTAACGTCATAACTACTTTATATATACCATAAGATTGTAGCGAGCGCCCAACAACGAAAAACACTGCGTTTGTCACTTAAAAGAATTGTCTAAAAGGGAGAGCACATTGCAGCCGCCCGGCACGTTCCAGACTGACGCCTCTTTGGTCGACCGCGTGATGCTTGCAGACATTTAGAAACTTTTCCGGAGGAGGGTTATTCGTCGTCGGCGACAGACAATCTAAAGGCCAAACAGATCTGTGCCTTTACCTAGTATAGCAAATGTTATTTAGGCTACGAGCATCGCTTGTTGACGCCGACATAACTAACGATAAGGAGACCCTCGCAAGCTTTGTGGGCTGAAGCTAACACGCAGGATAAGGCGACGAAGGGATCGAAATGTTTCGGCTTTGAAGTGGCGTCAAAGATGATTCAGACTATACAGGCGACGCGTTCCGAATCATCCACATGTATACTGCCACGTCATTTCACGGTAACATTAGTTACAGATGTGAAGGAAGCTAAACAGCGACGCAATTTGTCAAGTGAAATTATCATTATGCCAAAACAGATGGCAGTCTGTCGCCCGTTATCAATGATTTAGCTACATCAGGTTGGAGAACAAGACAAGCATTGAATTATCGTATGAAAGAGAATTAAATTATCTACACAAAAAGTTGATGAAAACGTTGTAAAATCCTTTTGGTTCGTGTCAGAGAAAATGCTACAATATTAAAAAGGTGGCCGAACCACATGGGCACACAGTTGATCAAAGCTACACGCGAAATGGATATAATAATCGTTGAAAACTATGTTTTTGGCGGCACCTCTTATTTTCGCCGTTCGTTGAAGTGCGTCTCTTGAGTTCCTGCGGGGTGCTTCACGTAAGCGTTAAGTGATCAACCGTCTCGCCGGAAGCTTTTAGTGAAGCATTTGCTGGAGATACCGCAATCGGCGGAAAACACCTGGACATTTTTCTGCGGGAAGGGGATAAAAAGGTCAGGTGAAAGGGATTGTTCGGATCAATCGAGGTCAGTCGCTCGGAATGGCGACGATATGCTTGATCAGGAGGACAAAAAGCTATATAACATAATAAGGTTAATTTTTATACAATAACATAAGAGCGTGCTAGGAAGCAAAAATAATGAATATACTGTTTTAACATTGCCGTGAACACTATACTAGCAGTGTCATATACGTGTATCAGGAGTTTGACAACGGGCTGAAGGAGACATTCTCGGCGTACAAATAGTTGTCTGTGATTGAAACTGAAATAAAAAAAGGCCTATGTTATTCCATACCACAGAAAATTGCATTGGTAGAGATTGAAGACGCTTCATAACTTCAGGGCTGAATTGAGTTGTCCATGCGGACACAAAGCTGTCGGATTAGAGGAACTCGCTCGCTGTAGAGGGAATACTAGGAACGTATGGCGTAGATTTACACATTTTACACAAACAAAATATATCATTATTTTTAGAAAAATTCCCCAAAATTCCATATCACACGGAGTCAAGGTGTATATCAACTGTCAGTTTCAACGTGTATATATTTGTCTGTGTCATCGTATACCTATTAAATATATGCGTCCGCGAATCTTATTCAGGTCATATGCCTATACAAGTAACAAGTAAATCCGAATAATTCAAGTGACTAGAAACATCTAAGTCTACCTTTTGCGCATTTACGTGTCTAGTAATTCAGTTACTATTCCGGATGTGTGCACGCGTATCTTTTTCGGTTTGCCTATTAGGCAGAGTACTGCTTCTGTCCTTGGTCCTGCTGCTGGTCTGTGGGGTTATCACCGCCGAACCGAATCGCATTAGCTGGGGCTTTATTTTTGAAGCAAATGCGTTAGCTTCGTACTTCCTAGTACCTATCTTTCTTTTTCAGTTTGACGGTTGTGCATGCGCAATCGTCTGTGTCGTTCCAGTTCGTTATTATTCCGGTGACCGGCACGACTAGGCCAGCCAATGTGTTTCTCCATCGATATTTTTGACTAAGGCCAAGCGACGAAGCCAACCAATGACGGCCATCTGCATGTGCAGGGCCTGACGTGTGTTCTGCACCGCGCTTGTCCTTGCTGGAGATAACTTTTGCTTTGGCCTATGGATTCCGAATTGTCTTGCCTTCTGGACATTAAAAAAAAATTTTTTCTGTTTGCGCAATCTACCATCAGAAGGCCGAAAGGCATATCACCGCGACCTCGGCTACGAATAGAATAGAACAGAAAAACTTTGATAGCCATAGCTAGATCGAAGGTACTGAGTACCGTCAATTTAGAATGTAGTTCTCGAAAACGCAACAATAGTCGTCGACATGGTCTCCTCGATTATCGAATTTGAGTTATAGTTGATCAAAAACATCACATTTTTTTAAGCCTATACAACTTGATTGAATTTTATGGGGCGCTTGCTGTAAGTTATCTTCGACAAAACATCGTATATATAATAACAGTATTTATATTGAAAATATGCTTTGAGTATTTTAGAGAGTTAGACACATCAAAAAAACATTTCTAAGACATCGAAGATAGGCTAAAAATAATAAGGCTAAAATTGTTGAAGACGATGGTAGCTACATGTGTGTGGTGTACTGCACAAAAGAAACTATATCTTTCTGCTAAGCGTTATTTCTGCAAGGTACGTTTTGGTACCTAAAAACGCTAAAAGCCTATAGTAAAATACTTAATAAATAATGATAGGGTCTCACTGAATAACTTCGGTTGACGTAAATTGCGGGACGTTTACTTAGCTTAAAGGCGCGAGCATCGGTTACAAGTGTTTCATTTTGATAAGAATTTGGAGAAGGACAGCACATAACAACCTGATTAAGTAAGTATTTGTCGTTAGAAACGCTAAAATTACTCTTGTCTTACTGACATTTGGTCTTGTGTTTCCCAAACATCTATTGGGTTTCCATAGTCTAAGTAAATAG